GGCGCGGAACTAAGCGAACTACTGGCGTTGATTCCGTCAACGCATATCCAGGGAAGCATTCTGGACGAGATAAAGTCAACTTCATCACGTCGTCTTGCCACGGTCCACGGCTCCCATCCTTGTTTTCTCGTACAGAAAGGGAATAGGATGCAAAACGTGCCGACGGATTCTCTGGGGATAAAGATTAAATATCGAATCAGGCTACTGCACCTCTTGAGGAGGAGTGACAAATACCTTGGGAGAAAACGAGTCAAAGACTTTTTTGATGAAGGATTCTTTCAGTCCACGTTCTGGGCTATCTGGTCTGCTCAGTATGTGTGGTGTGCCTAATGCCCCAATAATTCTTGGATATGCTGGTCGAAAACTAATATAGTTTCTCTTCTAGATTTTGTTTTCAACCCTGGCATAGTGCAATTGAGCTAAAGCACTCGTTGCTTCAATATGTCACCCAGTATAGAAGCTTAGATATGCTGAGCTGTCTTGATATCACTGGCTATTATCAGCATGAGTCGCTTCTCTTACCAATATTTTGGTATCTGAGGCGCCTTCAAGTTGACTATCAGTTCGATGCGAAGGTGCTAGATATTGAATTATGCTCTGAGAATAAGCACTCTTTAGCACGAAGTATAAAGATCTTACGCCATGATCGATGCTATCAACAAAATTTGGCAGGGAGTGATATAGTGATTGCCACCCTAGGTTCCCCTGTCTCAGAATCCTTGACAGGAACTCATCATCGTCCACCAGCTTGGAGAGATACATATGACATTACGGAACAGCTGAACGAGAGCTGGTCGTTGTGGCTTTCGCTCGCGAAGAATCGTGGGTTTGGAAATCCGTATAATTTTTGCACACGTCAATCAGAGTCTACCTTGGAGTCCTTCACAATCACCACCCGAGAGATAACCCTGTTTCAGAGCCTCACTTCCGCGGTTCACACTGCTAAAAACGCCGGTACCTTTATTTCTTTGCAAGAGAGCAGGTGGAAGATTACTCTTTGTCTTCCATTGGAACCAGTCTTTCCCGATCAGCCACAAGATGTGTTGGTTCTCTGGGGTTTCGCCACTTCCCCTACACGCAGAGGGAACTATGTACAGAAAGCAATGCTTCATTGCTCGGGCTATGAAATCTTGAGTGAAATACTCGAGCATTTGAATTTCCATGAATTATCTCCGGGTGAAAGCACCATTTTGATCCCGCGCATAATGCCTCGGATGACTGCATCCTTGTTAACCCGTGCCGTGGGCGATCGTCCGGATATCACTCCAAAGGGGACTTGCAACATAGGGCTTATTGGACAGTTTGTGGAGAATTGTCACCGAAGCTCAGTGGATGTAAGCTATGGAGTCAATACAGCGAAGACAGCCGTATCCAGGTTAATGGGCCTTGAGTTAGACGCGGCTAGACACAAAACATCCTTTACTTTATCAAGTCTCAAATATGTGCTGTTTGGCAGATGAAACGGCTGCATGGGATCGTCTCCCAATCAATATGAAAAAAGAGATAAATAATGGGCAGACATCAGTTGAATATGTAAAACTAACATTGAACACGCGTCTTGTTTTAAAGATAGGCAAGACCCTGTCCGGACTTGGGACCACCCCAGCATAATGGCATTGCTCCAACCACAAGTGACATGAACGCCTTTGCTTGCCTTTTTAACCAGCTGTCTGATCGCATTCCAGCAACGGCCGGACAGAGAATCGATCGTCGACCAGTGTTGACTACGGGCGCGGAATGGCTGCGGGTCATAATGCCGCGAGGGACATGCCAGTAAGAGAATTCCCTATAGTCCACTCGTCTGCTCTGCAATAAGAGATGGCTGTAGCATGGCTGAGCCAGTAAAGACGGATAAAGACAACGGCTGTATGAATGAAAATAGGGGTAGTAAGCATAGTAACGCAGTAGAGGATGACCTGCTGGTACGTATGAAGCAGGTTGAAGTCGACCGTATTCAGGCCACTTTGCGTGGCAGCGCCCGCGGAGAAGAAGAGCGCATCGATATACTTGAGATCACTTCCAGGATAGATAATAATGGAGGTAATCAGAATTGTCGATATGATATAAACATAGTGAATGAGTATGAAGTTCAGATGTAAAGGCACGGAATGCGGGACTTCAACTTAAGGGCCGAGCGGGGGAAAGCGGGCAACATTCCGGGACGGGCGACGGCTGCACCGTCGTGTGCGAAGGAGGGATGATCAGAATATGTGAGCTGTTCGGAGACAGCGGTGGTATGAGGGCACAGATCGAGATCAGTCCAAATTGCTTTGCAGATAATCCAGGTATGAAGACCAGCCGCCACGCGGCGCTCCGGTTGCCAAGCTGAAGGTGCGCCGCGCCGATCAGCTGCCCAAACGAGGGGTGTCACCAAATATGCTGGGAACACCGATGTTAGTCTCTGGTCATGGTGGTAGAACAAACACGAAGAAAAGGGCAATTCGATGTATTGAGGACAAGACAGAGGAAACGGAAAGAGTAGAAATAGAAGAGACGAAATGATGAGAGGAAAAATGGACCCAGATGGTGTGAGAACGGGACCTGGAGCTGAGGAGCGACGCAAGTGGCAGGCACAAACTTATTTGCGTTGGCATCCTTTTACCGACAGACTCTTGCAGTTGCAGCGAGGCAGATGGTGCCATCGGATTGGCATTGCATTCCTTGCGCGCGTGCTAATTCGCCAGTTCAGAGACGCACTCAGATTATCGTCTGAAGCTATTGCCACCGAGTCCAACCATAATTGGGAGAGGCAGCTTTGTCGGACTTGGCGCCAAGAGTGGACGGACGACATCCGTGTGCAGGCACAGCGATGCTTCCTCTAGCGAACCCCCCAGCGATGGGCAGACACCTCTACGTGGTGCTGGGGACAAGTATTCAAGCAGTTCTGTGGTGGTGCTGCTTGAAGAAACCAAGATCTGCCCAAAGGAGATGGAAATCGTGGTGTGCGACGGTTGGACGCGATCCGGACGCGTTCGCGAAAATTCTGACAACCAACAACAAACCAACGACGAGATAGCCAAGATGCCTGTTCCCATCTTGCCTCGCTATAATCGATGAACTGAAGAAGGCTGATGATCCCTTGTTTATGCAGTGACTGGATTTGGTGTCTTGGAATCTATCGCGTTGCTGATACTCAAGGGATCTGGGGTTTTTGACGCCGCGCCCTCGCCTCCCGACCGCACCATCGACGAAGAAGAATAGCTAAGGCCTGCGCGTTGCCTTACCTCGCTAAGATCAACTCAATGGACACGCACCACTAGAACTTAGTGGGAGATGACTAGACCTTTCTGCCCGGTCTATCGCGACATCTTCGCCAACGACAACACATTCTCCAACATTACTTCCCGACTCTCTGCTTCCTGCCTCGTGGTCTCAAGGCTTCTACACAATGGTTACGACAACGAGATACTCTAATGCCAGTCTCTCTGTCCGCTCAATAATCCACCTTTCGTCCTAAATGTGCAACTACAATTGATTACATCAAAACATCCCCGGTGCGATAATTGTTTCAACAACAATCTCGCGTGTGACTTATATTCCGACACGGTCAGTCCAGACGTGATATCTGAATGGTTACATAACTCAAGTTCCCTCTTTTTCTTCGCGTTCCTTCGTTTCAAATTGGCTTTGGTTATTCCCATAATGGTGTCAAGCCTCTCCCTTACTGCAAGGTGGCGAGGAAATAGAAACAATCACAGGCCTGTCAGGCGAGGCTCCAAATTCGCCCTCAGGAAACTCTGAACACCCAAATGGTTACACAAACATGTATCTAGATTATTATTACCTGCATATCGCTTCGGCGAGGGGTCAGCGTATGAATACATCATCATCATCATCATCATCTAGCGAACCGCGTGGAGCTAAAAAGGAGGATTCTGTGAGGCATTTCCTTTTTCCCCGGACATACCGAAGCTTCCGCAATCATGTGAAACTTAGTTAGCCTTGGTCTGTATCGAGTCCAGAGAGTGTCTCTGTATTCATCTGGAATTGAGGCTGCTCGTCTTGACTTTCGGAACCTCCCTGTGAGCACATAGGCAGTAATTGCATCGCCTTGGCGCCAAGAACACCGCCGAACTTGGGCCGGAACACAGACTTTGCGTCATGACTGATTGCCAACGCCAAGCCACGATACAGCACACCAAGTCATATTGTCAAAATGCGGGACCATGGGGTTTGTGCAAACTTTTCACATGCCACGATATGAGGACGCTGCACGAATTTTCTCATATGTCCTCATCATCAACGGCCTATCTTTCAAGTTTTTACCCTGGGAAGCCGCAGCTTTTTGTGCCTGATAGCACGCATTTCCTCTCCAATACCTTCGGCCGATTGCCATTGGAGAGAGACTTCTAATATTCCCTGTTGTTTGCCTTCGCCATTTCCTGACCTCACTCGGCACGCGCCAAGTTCCCTAGTTTCTTGGCAGTATTTCACAGATTTGACGAGGCACTCCCCGCTGCTTTGATTTTATCCAAGGCTTCGTCCTAAATAGTCAAGATTCGCACGTTGAGCTCGATAACAAATTGGTTTTAAGCACAGACTTTCTCCATCATAACCCAACTTTATCCGTATTATATACATAATTCAGGATGCCTCATTGTTTTTTGCCATTCTTGCAGCGCCTGCGCAAACACTCGACTTCTATAACATATGCGGGAGATATCGAGCTCGACGAGGAGAGTAATCGCTTACTCTCAATAGAGGGCCTAACCTTGCGGGATATAGTACCCTCGCCCCGAGGCAAGTTTTCGTCCACTGGCACTGAAAAATATAATACAACCAAAAAAGATAGATTTGTGAGGACTAGTGGTGGGCATAAACATTATCTGAGCCCGCCAAGGCCGAGAAGACATTTTTGGAGAAGCAACGACAGCGAAGAGCTTTCAGGCAAAAACAAGCTATTCAATAGCTTTAAGTAGCAGTGGATGGAAGAAAAAAAAAGGAAAGAGACCAGTTTGGCAGGGTGGCCCATCGAGAATCGCGATTTGGAAGCCATTACCCAGCGATATGGGGAAATCAAAATGGTAGCCGGGTAAGGCTCTCATGCACTTGTATTAATATCACATAAAGTGCGCAACTGGGGTCCACAACTCGATCGTTACTATGCTATAAAGATCTTCCGCCACGCATCAGCTCAGACCGAGTCTGACTATTACAGACGTGCGACCTCGGAATTCTCGATCACTTCCTCCCTACATCATCAGAATATCATCGAAGCCTTCGAGATCCTCCCCTTGGATTACGATAGTCTCTGTGTGTGTATGGAGTATTGCTCAGGCGGAGATTTGCATGCACTGATTGTGTCTTCACGTCGACTATGGGAAGATGAGGCAGATTGTTTCCTGAAACAGCTGTTGTGCGGGATTCTCTATATCCACGAGATGGGGATCGCTCATCGTGATTTGAAGCCGGAAAATCTTCTGCTTACCAACTATGGCCGCCTCAAGATTTCTGATTTTGGCCATGCAGAGTGCTTTCGTCTTGCATGGGAAGATCAGGTTCATATGTCTACCAGGCGCTGTGGCTCAGCACCATATGTATCACCGGAGCAGTATCTTGCGCAACCGTTTGATCCAAGATATGCCGACATATGGGCTGCCGCTATTGTTTAAATAGCTATGAGAGCTGGGAGGAATCCTTGGAAGAAGGCAACAGTCAAGGACGAATGCTTTCGAGACTATACTGAAGACTGCAAAGCTGGAAGCCAGTATTTCCTCATCAAAGACATAACCCATGTCAGGATATCACTTTCCTTTCGTTGTTTAGATGGCTAATTCTTTTTCTTACAGGAGCGGAGATGCGCGATCCTACATTCCATGCTGAATGTCACACCCACGCATCGACCAGGAGAGGCGGAGACTCTCCGTTCCCAGTGGCTTCAGGAGGTGAATTGTTGTCAAGCTAACACCAACGCAGGACTTCCTGGTTAAGGCCTCTTATATTCTGTATGTACTGCTGTTGGGATGGCTCTTTACGGTTTGTCAGCCAGAGGTTTCCTCATATTCAGCCATTCTGCGAAACGGTCACCTTCAGCGCAAGTAATATCTTCCATGGCTCACACGTTTTGTTTCTGAACTAGGCATTCAACAGATAATAATATGAGATGAGTCACTTATCTCTGAATCTTGCAGTAGCTGGCAGCGCATGACAATGTGGCAAGCTCTTATTTTGGCAGCACCTACCTATATGAACGTCTTCAAAGGGGATGCCTAGCAAGATCAACTAAACATAAGCGAGATCTGGCTTCAAGTGAAAAGCCCAAACAAGCACAATCATCAGGATAGTTTTGAGCGCGAGAAGTAGCGCTTGAACTATGTAATGACTCTATTGACCTTAGCACTCTATTACACTGGGAAGATGAGAGGCTATTATTCCAATAGACGGCACGCAAACAAGTTGGGAACCAGAGACATGGAGAGAGCCCCTCGGGTACGCTTTCATGCGACGTAGCTTTCCAGCAGCATTCAGACTTGTTTCGTTGATTGTCTTCAAGAGTCAAAAGTCAATGTCAAATGGGACGTTTCACGCAACCTCGCATCCAAATAATCACTTTTCCTTTGCAAACAAACGCGCTCGGTGGAGTGTTTCTGGATCTTACTCGCAGTAGTAACATAGAAAACCCCTTGAAGAGCATTCCAGTCTCAGCGATTCTCACAGTCTCGGCTGCATTGACCCGTTCGGAAAAATTTCGAGCACTTCACCGAGACACAGCAGGTGGCAATCACCAATGACGTTGTCATCTTTGTGTTTGGGCACAGATCCCAGATCTGGCTCATAATCTCGGCGCCAAGGCTATGAGCTTGGCTTCCCATGACGGCTGGGGTTGGTGGCAATTTCTGAAGCCAGGAATCCCGAAGCCCGCTTTCGGCAGCCTGGTTTACGTGCAAAGATTCATTTTGTGTCAGAGCTTGGGTTTTCATACAGTTTTGCTAAGCCCCCTGTCGGGACTAAGTGTGTGGAGTACTATATTCTTATTTTTGTTTTCGCCCGATTGAAATCCCCAAATTATATCATGGTGATCGAATCCCACCTTTTCACCACCTCGGAGGGTACACCATGGATTTATGCCTAATCTCTGGTCAGTGGGTCACTCCTTTGGAGACTGATTCGTCCTCGCACGACACTCCCCCCACACTTGGAGCTTCAACGCTTGGCGGGAAAGTCGAAATCATCGTAGCGTCGGTGAACCCAAATGTCTCCGCACCTCTGACCCTCCTCATGGGCAATCATCCACTATGGTTGGGTTGCCCGAATTTCTTCCTTGGCCAGCCCAACCTCAGGATGCAGCCATCGCTCTGGGCGTCAAGCTATTTTCAGCTTTTTCACCAATAGCTGCTATCAATGATTCTCCATTTCACATTGCGCACTCGGGACAGAGATTTCACGGAAGCACTTTCCTGGGTCTTTTTAAGAAGTTGGGCGCGCCCCATCGTGTTGTTAAATTTTTTGGTCATCCTTCCTTCACAAAGCTGATTCTTTCATTCCCCCTTAAGAGCATTGTTTCCTTGAATTGTCACCGAAGGAGCTATTGGACGATTTGCTTGAGGCAATGGCAAAAGAGAAAGTCGCAGGGCCGGGCGGAGTACGTCCTGGCCATGCGGAGCTGAGCCAACCTGCCTATTGCCTTTCCTTTGAAGTCGTCCTGAAAGA